TGCGCGGCGGCGGCGTGCTCACGGACGGGCCGGCCGACGGCGCGGACGTCGTGCTGTTCGTGACGCGGCTGGACGAGGGCCGCGCCGCGCGCCGCGACCGCGCGCGCCTGATGGAGACCGTGCTGCGCTTTGGCGAGGGCGTGCTGCGACGCATGGTCGTTGTCGTCACGCATGGGGCGGCGACGCCGCCCGCGGATTTGCGCTTCGACGAGTGGGTCAGGGGGAGGAGAGACGCGCTTTGGATGACGGTCGATGAAATGCTCCCGCCCGTGCTAATTGAGAGGGCCGACGAGGAGGATGGGGAGCGGGGAGATGGCGATGGCGACGGGGATGGCGACGGGGATGGCGATGGCGACGGGGATGGCGATGGAGACGGGGATGGCGATGGAGACGAGGCCAGGGCGCGGGAGGAAGGAACGGGGGGCGAAGGAAACAGCAGAGGAGAAGGCGGAGAGGAAGGTGGAGGGGAGGAGTCTGGAAGGGTTGGGGAGGAATCTGGAAGGGTTGGGGAGGAGAGTGTGTTCCGCATCCGCCCGGATGTGCTAGACGACAAGTTTGGCAACGTCTCGCTATCCGACGTCAGCCTCCCAGCGCTGAACGCAGATGACATGATATCTCGCATCTGCGAGGAGAAAATCCACCCTAAGGACGACCGCGTTTTTGCGGAGCGCTTCAAGCCGCCCGTAGTGGTTGTCGAGATGTCCGAGGCGTGCCCGCGCGACGCAGAGGGGCGCAAGGTGCTACCGGACGGCACGGCATGGCAACCGCGGCTGCTGGACGCGATTGCAAAGGTGGCGGCGGAGTCTAGAAGAAGCAGGAGGGAGGAGACAAGGCGACACGCGCTAGTGCCGGGCGGAGGCAATCTTGAGCAGATGGGGTTCTGGGGGCAGCTCGGGACCATGCTGCAACGGTTGCGGGAGGACGTTTTTCGTGTCATGCTTGCGGAGGTCGCTTTGGTCGTGCTGGTACTGCAGATCGGGAAGGGGGTGCAGGGGTATCGAGAGGCGCAGTGGAAGAGGGAGAAGGATAAGATTGCTGATGGCGACGATGTGTTGATAGAGATGAGTGATGAAGAGTATGAGGCGCTGACAAAGCCCAACGAAGGCAACGAGCCGGTTATTATATTCGACCAGATGCCCAAGGAGGTGGAGGAGGACGGCGACAGGCAGGAAACCGTAAAGGAGTTTTTTAGTGATGAAGGCTCCAAGCTGGAGCTGGAAGATCTAGAAGACGAAAAGACATTCAAGAAGTAAGAGGAAGAACACATCGTGTTTCTTGCTTTGTTAGGCGTGTTGAGCGTCTGTTTAGAGATTGTATTTACACTGATGAATAAGAGATGCTGAGGAGGACGCGACCAGCAAGCGAGGGAGTAGAGGTGTTGCCAAGTGACGGAGAAGGGCAATTGGGGCAATTAGGATGATGATGTTTGGAGTGAGTTGGTTTCGATATCTGACGGGCCAGCCGAGGATGATTGACCACTGTCACGCGCGCCGGTTTCAATATCATCTAGCACAGAAGTGTTGGGCTTGCGGTCGAACAAGCCTCGGGGCTGTTCCGTTTGCGAGGCAGAGTTTGAAGCATCGCGACTGACAGCGATGTCGCGCAGCTCAATGCGCAAGCTGAGGGCCTCGCCGACGGTGGCCAGCGCGACTGTGGCAACGATATTGAGCAGCCACCACATGAGGCTCTTCGGAAAGCCAGAGTGGATGGTGGTGGCGATGATATGCGACACGAGGAGCGTGCACGCAAAGTCGACGCAGCGCTTCGCGCGACCGACGACGGCGACAAAGGCCAGGGCAGTGGGACCCGCCGCAGAGACCAGGAGGGCCGTGCACGTGACCCAGCCCGGAAAGTGGCGCAGCGTGACGAAGGTGTGATTGAAGATCTGCTCGGTGATGCTGGCGGCGGTGCCCGTGGCGCGGTTGAAGATGGCGAGCAGGACAAACTGGATGGCGCGATTGGAGAGGTTGAGGCGTTAGCTTCAAGCTTTTGCGGCAGACGAAAAGCGTATTTGTGGATTTGGGGGGAGCAGGGGCGTGACGTACGTAGGAGATGTAGAAGCAGGCCTGCAGCAGGACGATCTGGGCGAGGATGAGCAGAGGGTCGAAGCGGTTGCGGCCGTAGTACGAGCCGTTGACGGCCATGGCGGGGCGGAAACCGGCGGCGCGGCGCGCGACCCGGCGCACGAGGTCGAACGGGATGGCGGGTGTCGGGCGGGGCGCGGCGGAGGGTCTGGCGGAGGGTCTGGCGGAGGGTCTGGCGGAGGGTCTGGCGGAGGCGTGGCGCGGCGCACGCGGGTGAGGCGGAGGAGGGGACGACGGCGGGGTGGGCGGAGGGACGGAGGGAGGAAAGGAGGAGACAGGGATGGCGACGGGGGCTGGGGAAGGAGGACGGGAGGTGGGCTGGTGTCGAGGTAGTGCGGACGAGTGTCGCGCGTTGGAAGATCGGTGGCAGCACCGGGGGCGGGCGCTCTTTGGAATGGGCTTTGGAATTGCAGGCTGTTTCGCGGTGACACAAGTGCAACTCAGTTTTGCAAAGAGGTCGTGCACCACTGTAAGTTGCACGGACAGGAAGGCGGGGGACGTGGTCACGTGGACAACTGTACGCGTGTATATGGACGTTGACGTGGGAACGTGTTCACAAGTGACACGCGTACACGTAGACATCGGTGTACACGTAGACATCGGTGCACACCACACCGATCTGTGGGATGTGGGATGTGGGATGAAGAAGATGAAAGGGAAATTGCATGGCTGCAATTGCAGAAGGCGAATGGCGAGACTTGCGTGCTGTGCGAGATTCCGGTGTAGGATGCAGCGCGATGCATTCCTGCGGGGGAGAGCGGCAATCAGCGCCGCTCCGCCAACTGGTGGAGCCGCACCGGCCACGTGGGCGCCACAGCTCGACGCCCAGCCCGGCCAGGCCACACAGCAGCGCCGCCGGAAGCGACGTCATGCCTCGGCTCCCGAAGCGGCGCACGACACACCCTCACCCCTCACCCTGTCGTCATATCCCCCCCGCCCGCTCCTGGTTGGCTCCTGACCTCCGACACAACACATCTCTCATCCCCACTATCCCAGGTGCGCCCCCCTCACCTCCGCTCACGCCCCTCCGCTCACGCCCCTCCGCTCACGCCCCATATATTCCTCCACCACTGCCGCGTCCCGCCTCCCCCCTTTCCCACCCCCTCCCCTCCCTACCTTCACATGACGACTGCGGCGCCACGTCGAGCCCCGCATCTTGATATAATCCGCGCCCCGTGTTCCAGCCTGCCGTACGCGCCATGAAGCGCGTGGGCTCCTTCAAGGAGGCCATCGACATCGCCTTCGAGCTTCCGGCCGGCGCCGTCCCGTACGAGGAGTTCGACTTCGAGCCCTACTTTGACGAGTCCAAGAACGAGGAGGAGCTGCGCAAGACATGGCGCATCTTCACCAAGGTCAAGGACGTCCTCGACAACGGCCTGCGCCTCGAGAACGCCTCCTGGCGCCTCTGGTTCAAGGAGCGCAGCAAGGCCGGCGGCATCGCTCCGACGGAGGTCGAACAGGCTAAGAACCTCTCCGAGCTCGAGAAGTACGACCTCAACCTCGACGCCAGCCTCAAGAAGGCAGAGGCCGACACCGACAAGATCGTCGGCGACATGTTTGGCGGCATGCAGACCAAGTTTCAGGAGGAGAACGACAAGGTCGCCGTGCGCGCAAAGGCCGAGCGCACCCGCGCCCTGCTCGAGCTTGCCAAAAAGCACGGCATATCGGAAGATGCCGTCGAGGACATCCTCGGCTGGGTCCAGAACGCTGTGCTGCAGGCGGAGGAAGTCCGCATCCTCGAGGGCTCGGACATCCTCCCGGCCACCACCAAGGACGCCCACCTGTTCCTTGACAGCACCACCTACCTGCCCCGCCCGCGCGTGGCCGCCTTCTGCCACTCGCTGGAGCGCAACGGTGCCAACAACTTCCTGCTCTACCTGCTGCGCGAGCTGCGCGAGGAGCTCTCGTTCGACCTCATCTCGCCCAAGGAGGGCGCGATGCGCGCCGACTACGAGGCCATGGGCATCCCGGTCACCATCCAGAGCATGAAGCTCGCGTCGTACCCGGACGACGTGCGCGTGCTGCTCAAGAATTTCCAGTACGCGATCGCCAATACGATCATGACGACCGAGGTGATCAACGCGTCGCGCGACCTAGATATCCCGTGCCTGTGGGTGATCCACGAGGCCTGGCCCAAGGACCAGTTCAACTACTACGCAAAGGAGGTCTTCATGATGACGCACCTGGACGAGCAGGCCATCCGGGACGCATTTGCCAACGCCTCCAAGATCGTGTTCCCCGCCAAGGTGCAGCGGCGGTGCTACGACGGCTTGTTCAAGGCCGGCAACGCGCGCGTGATCTACAACGGCATCCCACTGGCCAGCATCAACGCGTTCCGCGCCGAGCAGAGTCGGGACCGTGTGCGCGAGGACCTCGGGTACGGGCCGGAGGACTTTGTCCTCGTGCACATGGGGACGGTGTGCAAGCGCAAAGCGCAGCTGGTGACGTGTCAGGCGTTCGCGGAGCTGTACTCGACGGTGTCGCTCCCGGACGACAGGCAGTTCAAGCTGCTGATGGTCGGGGCGCGGTACATCCGGCAGCACGAGATTAACTACATCGAGGAGTGCAAGGAGACGCTGGAGAGCGTCGGGGCGGAAGCGGCCGCGACGATCCTCGACGTGAAGAAGAACGTGCTGCCGTACTACCTCGCGGCCGACGTGATCCTGTGCCCCAGCATCAACGAGGTGCTGCCGCTGGTGATTTGCGAGGCGATGGCGTTCGAGCGCCCCGTGATTGCGACACGCATCGACGGCATCCCAGAGGCGCTCAGCGACGGCGTCGAGGGCCTCCTCATCGAGCCCGGCAACCCTGCAGCGCTCTTCGACGCGATCGAGAAGCTCGCCGTCAACGCTGACATGCGCGAGAGGATGGGCATCGCGGGCAGGCAAAGAGTGCTCCAGCAGTTTAGCTTTAGCACGATGTCCAAGACGTACCGTGAAACCATCACCGTGGACTTGCCCGAGATCGTGGCCAAGGCGTGAGGCCGGGAGGACGACGTGGGGTGGAAGTAGATTGTTGATGGGGCGGGGAGGGCGGCTGTGGGTCGCCTGCTGTCATATACCGTATAGAGTAATAGGTTTTTATTTGTTTAAAGGCTTTTGCGCAATGGCAGAGTCGATAAGTACCGCTTTCTACCTTACCTTCTTCCCGTACAATGCCAGCTACCGTTTACCGGGGACACTGCTATCTGCAGCGGGACAGCACAGGTGGACGAGGCGTTTAATGTTAGAATCCGGAATCAGGATGATTCTGCATAGGGCAACATGCACTAAGACTACGTTGCGAGGCAGCTGTATGTAGTGATAGGTAGTACCGTAGACGGCAGTAGGTAAAGCTCTTCGTTGTTGTTAAGTTTTTTGTAAGATTCTGGTGTCTATCGGACCGTTGTTCCCATATGAGGACGCTATTCGACCTGTTTTTTTCTTGACTTGCGCTTCCTCGGCAAGAAAGAAAAAGATACCCCCACCACCGTACTTGACTTCGAAGTTAGGGCCAGAAAGACGGTTGTGAGAACTGCATGTTCTTCCTTGTCATGTTTAGATACAGTACCCTTGGTACAGTATGTCTGGAAAAGATGCATTTTTAAACCACCTCAAAACCGCACGTAAAATGATTGGAAACCAAAAACGCCAGATCAAAAAGGAAGTTAGGTACTCAATCTGCGTTACATTCAACATATATTTCACAAAAAAAGAGCTGTCTGTCGGAAAACCTCCGTGATAAGGCGTTCCTTTGAGGTCCGGTCTTCTCCTAACAGCAGACGCACTGGAGCCTGCGTCGTTCCTGCTGAAATTCGGGTTTGGTGAAGACGAAGGTTGCGACTGCTCGCATAGAAGAGCGTCGCCACTACTCTTCGAAGGTTAGCTGGGTGTAATGAAGCAACTTTTGTTTACAGATGTTCGTCTTGGTCGGGAATCGCGGGGATGATCGCGCGATGCGTAGCTAGCCTACCTCCTGCCGTAGCACTGTCTCTGAAGTGTAGAAGTGTCTCTGACAAGGGCCCCTACCGTTGACCTCCCTCAAGTTCCCGTCACTTACGGTCGAGAAACTCTCCAACCGTTCCACGCTTTTACTCACCCATCTAACTTACAGCAGATCTCAACTGGAGAAATGGGATGCTCCTGAAATCACAAACACCCAATTTGATACGACCCTTTTTGCACAAATTGCTGTTTTGTGCGCATCACCTTCTGCTGATGTGAACCCCCTTGGAAGACGATTTGTGTCCACAGCCAAAAGCAAAAACACATATTTCACCCGCCGATTTCCCGCCGTTGAGGTAGCTCGATCCCTAGCGAAGCTTCCTCGTGGCATGACAGAATCCCTCTACCCTTCATCCCCATCTCCGTCACACAATCCCTCTACCTCGATCCCTTTCTCCCACCATGACACAATCCCCCTCCGCTTCACCCCCATCTCCATCATCCAACCCCTCTACCCCTAACCTAAACCTTCGTGTTGAACCGCTTCCACCTTCTCGTTGCCCCTCTGTCTTCGATTCAAATCCTCCAGGCGACCCTACCGAAACCGCACAAACGCAGACCCCCCGAATATCTGCCGTGTGACCCACGGCTACGGTGGCTCCTACCCTTATTCTAGATCACAGCCGGGACCCACTGTCGGGATCCAAAAACCTCCCAACCGAAAATCTTCCAGCAAACCAACGCCTGTTCGTGGCTCTGGATTCTCGGCTCCCGAAATCGAGCACTTGCTTGACACGCTCGAAAAGTACTTGCTCCTGTGCCGCGATGAGTGGGACGCTGTTCTCATCGCGCACAACAAATACTTTGCAGATCAAAAGCGCTCTGTGGACAGTCTCAAACGCAAATTCGCCTCTCTACATCGGCGAAAAATGCCAACCGGTGACCCGCTCATGCCCGCTGATGTTCGCAAGGCGAAAAGTATTCGATATAGAATGACGGAGCGTGCGGATATTGGAGTCGGTGACGAGGACGTGGACGAGCTGTCGGGAATCGTAGAGGATGATGAGGATGGTACGACACCTGTTGGGGCGGCAAGTTTGTCGCCGCGAACATCGGAAATTCCAAGTGACGGCGCTCAAGGGCCAGGGTCGGGTGCCAAGATTTTGCCGCCGAGCCCTACTGAGTTTTCTCCCTCTCCGCGCTTGCTCGTTAACAAAAGGAGGGGAGTTAAAGTTCAATCAACTGAGGCAAATGAACTTGTCGCGATAATGAAGCTTTCTATGGTACAAGAGCAGCAGCGTCGGGAGAGCGATGCCCGACAAAGGGAAATGGAGGAGCGTCGCCGGGCCGACGAGAGGGATGAGGAGAGGAAGAGAAGGGAGGAGGACCGTCGTGAAGAAGTGCTTCGCCGGGAGCATGAAAACAAACGCCAGGATCGCTTTATGGAGGCGGTTCTGTTAATGATGACGCACACGGTATCTCAAAAAAATCTACCGCAACGCCCTGACGATGCGTGACTCTAGATTCCAACGTTCTCATGAAGAAAAAAGTTAGCATCAACGCTTAGGTGCGGCATGTAAACATTGAGAATTTGGTTGATTCCTACCACTGCAGCTCGATAGTTGTACAGTAGAACGATTGTCAACAAGATCAGTTTTCTTTCGCCAGTTTCTTCGTAAACCATCCTATCCAAAAGCCTCGGAAACGTCCCTTGAAACCCGCGCATTCCCCACTCTGATGCTTGTCGCAACGAGGTAGCCTGCCGAAGCCTCATAATTTCAGTAGCGTTTTGTCCTACTCCAAGATGATCTTGCGCAGACTTTATGACAAAGGGATGAAACTCTCTGCAAAATGCAGAATCGACCACACACTTGCCCTCCGTTTCCTCGTACACTTTTCCTAGTTTTTCGTAAATACCACCCCACTCCGCTATTGTGGAATCATGAAACGCGCCCGGAGCATTTACAGCACACATTATTATCCGTCCATTTGGGGCAAAGACAAAAACATTCCCGACATAATGGTCATGTGTCCAACCATTGTAAAACATATTTTGTATTACACAGTCACCTGCCTGTTGTAGATATAGTTTTAACCCATCCGCACAGCAATAAACATCCGGAAGCAATGAATGCTTCTCCCGAAAGCTTTGTTTAAACAAACTGATCTCCTCAGCTGACGGTATTTTGATGGAGGCACGATCATCATTTCGCAAAACTTTAAAAAGCAAACGGCGGGCGAAGCGAATGTACAGCGAAGCAACTGAATTCGTAACCCCAAAAAGGAGACACAAAGTCATCATCGATCCCCGTGTGCGATGCCATGTGAGAAAGAGTCCCAGGCACTGAGTAGAGGAAAGTAAACGCGGTCTTCCTCTCGCGACGCGCCTATTTGGGAGGATTCGAAGCCTTCCATCGCTCGAGTACGGTGTGTATCTCAAGTACATCGGGGCAAATGCGTTTAGCATTGTTGTAAATGCTCGGTGATCGAACGCTGTGAGCGTGATTAAAGATTGATCGCATCCACTGCCGTACAAAAAAGCGAAAGGAGCCATCGTAGGACTGAGAAGCGCTCTTCGAGATATGCGTCTATCACGACGACGTTTACCTTTCGCATTTAGACGGGCTCTGAAGATACGAGGCTGTCCATCGAGAATGAGATGATACAGAATAATGATTTGCAGCATAAGCGAAGGCATACTGTGGCTAGGGTACGCGATGAGGACGAAAAGGGGAAACGTTGCGATTTGACGAGGGTGGTTCTGCGAATTCGCGGTCGTCCTACACTAAGGAGTTAGATTCGGGCTCATGGGACTGCCAATGGAGTACCCTACGGGTACACAACGGGATAGTGTAGAAAGTGCGGTGAGCTTTGACACAAAACTTTTCAGGACGCTAGTACAGTACACAATCACCTTTTTGCACAATTTTTGTGTAAAAGGGTGCATATGCATTTTATGATTTCAGGAGCAGCCCAATAGGTCAACCAGATTTGATCAAGGACTTTTTGTGGTTACACCCAGACAAGGCAGCCCCATAGATAGGGCACCGCCAATAATGCGCCTCCATTTCCCACGCAAGTAAAGCCGCCGTCGCTCCGACCACCCTCGGGGGTCGGAGGCATCGGTCGGATCTTGGCATCACACTTTTGTAATAGGTCTCCGACGCAAACATCGACATTTCATTGAATCACTCAGAAATTGCCAAAAAATAGCATTTATTTGAACGCGACTCAGTCACTCCTCAAAAAATCTCCAAAAGCGCAAATAACGGATATCCTGGCAAACCTTTACAACACAGTAGGCCTTTCATGCAAATACCTCTCGCACAGGAAATGAATTTGATACTTACAGTAAAAGTACTGAGCAATTGGAACTGATCAGGTATATCAGTACTCTCGAAATATTTGCTAGAATACATGGTCTTTTCAGTTCCAAGTGATCTGTTTTCGATTGACTTCCCCATAACCAGAGCTGTACTGTGTTACGAAAATCATTGGTCCAATTCAAAAAAGGGCGGTCTTTTACAATATACCTTGGTCTTCCGGTAAGATGTCAACATCGCACGCCCGTAAAGCACCCTGCCAAACTGCAACCACATCAAGCCACTCTTTCTCCCTTCTATCACTCCTTCCCTTTTTTACCAGAGCCTGAAAATGGCATCTGTAACCTCTGCGCAAGCTGAAAGAGCTTTGCTCTTGCTCTTCGATGCCGCCGTCGAGCGTCGTGCAGACTTGCAGGAGTTTGCATCCGACTCTGACGCGATTGATACGGACGAGGAGGTGGAGAGCGAGTCCCCAATTTATGATCAATTTACGAAAATGGGGGAGCAAGCGCTATCATCCAGATGACCAATTTTAGCCCTACAGAGTTCTATGCCACTTGGTGCGTCCTGAAAAAGGCAATCAAGGAGAGGTACAATGCGGGGCGGGGGCGCAAATGTTCACATACTCCTCGGGATGTCCTTTTTATGACACTTGCCGTGCTAAAGCACGGAGGACAATGGGACTTCTTGGCCAAGATGTTCAGTTTAAAAGGTCCCACGTTCGAGCGTATGATTATGAAATTTATAGATATTATCTCGTATCCAATGTTTGAACAGTATGTGGAGTATCAAAGTAAGAAGTGGAATATGGAACTCATGAGCAGCAAGAAGATTGGATTTAAAAACTACCCTATTGCGCGCTATGCCACAGATGTGATATTCCAGCAAAGTTTTCGCCCTAGTGGCAGCCTGGAGGAAGGAAAACTGTAC